GATAGTGTCCATGAGTTTTACTTTGGTGGCTATGTGCATAACATGAAAGTCTGTCATATCGTGCACACAGCCACAGCTCGAACTCAGATGGCTTTCTCCGCACGCCTGAGCGATGAGGCTGCGTCTCTCTGCACTTCAACATCAGCAGCTCGAGCAGCGCCAGCAACCAGTCGATCTTCCTTGAATAGCGAAGACAGGGATGGGTCATGCCTTTCTCTCAAGCTCCAGAGTCTCTTGGCAGGACGTTCCGCGTCTTCGCAAAAGCAAGGATGAATGTCGTCATCGACAAAGTGTTCCGAGCTAAACACTGTGACCGATGTCGCAGCAAACTGCTGCCCTTCTCGCCAGATAGCCAGGATTCAAGAGAGTGGAATGTCAGCATCACTAGGGAACGCCTGGAAAACAAGTGGGTTTCTTAGACTAGGGATCACGGCTGCTGCAAACAAGAACCCAACAGTAGTCCTTGGAAAGCATTTCGGAACTTCTTCCTTCAGAACTAAAAAAACTTCAAATGAAAAAAGCCTGGGGAGTCATACATGAACATCGCGTCGGGACCGTGAAAACCCAGCCTGTCACAGGAAACTTGATCACGTCCTGCAACAAACCATGCATGCTGGTTGCATGCCAAGTGTGCAGCGCGCGCACAGCATGCCCCGTCTCGACCTCTCTCGCTTATTGTGCAAAGGGTCTATTGTTAAAGGGGAAGTTAAACAACTCCCTCAGGGCTGCTGAAAAGTGAGAAAAAAATATCTCCAAGTTTGGAGCTTTTCGCCGTAAATCTTCACTTTACGATTAAAGTATTCACAGCAGTGACAAAGTTTCTGGAACAGTGAATGTGGGTACCAGCGGCCTACAAGCAACCCAAAAATCAAATCAATCCGACCACTCACATAACAGCTGGGTCGTGTTATAGATAGGTGCATTAAAATTGACAGGTGGTCGAAAATGTTCAAAACTTGACAATTTCTCATCTTTCTGCTCGGTTGATCTCGAAACCGGAACAATGACATTCCTGATCTTGTTGTATAGCTGGACTTAGGAAGGTGCATCAAGAAAAAGAGCCACGTTTTTCTAAACAACTCGCCCAGGGCTGCTGAAAGCTGAAAAAACCTATCTCAAAGTTTGTGACTTTTCGCCGTGAATCTTCACTTTGCGACTAAAGTATTCACAGCAGCGCTACAGTTTCTGGGTCATTGAATGTGGGTGCCAGCGGCCTACAAGCAAGCCAAAAATCAAAACAATACGACCACTCCCATTACAGCTGGGTCGTGTTATAGAGAGGTGCATTAAAATTGACAGGTGGTCAAAAATGGTGAAAATTTGACTATTTCTCACCTTTTTGCACGTTTGAAGCTGCATACCTGAAAATTCACTATCCTGATCTTGTTGTGTAGCTGGACGTAGGGAGGTGCACGAAGAAAAGGAGCCACATTTCACTAAACAACTCGCTCAGGGCTGCTGAAAGCTGAAAATAACCTATCTCCAAGTTTGGTGCTTTTCGCCGTGAATCTTCACTTTGCGACTAAAGTATTCACAGCAGTGCCAAAGTTTCTGGGTGATTGAATGTGAGTTCCAGCGGCCTACAAGGAAACCAAAAATCAAATAAATGTGACAACTCACATTACCGCTCGGTCGTGTTTCAGAGAAGTGCATTAAAATTGACAGATGGTCAAAAATGGCCAAATTTGATAATTGGTCACCTTACTGCCCGTTTGACGCTCAAACCTTCACAATGACCATCTTTATCTTGGCGTATATCTTGACATAGGGAGGTGGACCAAGAAAAAGAGCCACATTTCTCTAAGCAACTCGCCCAGGGCGGCTCAAAGCTGAAAATAAAATATCCCCAAGTTTGGGGCTTTTCGCCGTGAATCTTCACTTTGCGACTAAAGTATTCACAGCAGTGCTAAAGTTTCTCACCTTACTGCCTGGTTGAAGCTCAAACCCTGACAATGACCGATTTAATGTTAGCGTATAGCCTGATATAGGGAGGTGCACAAAGAAAAACAGCCACTTTTCTCTAAACAACTCGCCCATGGCTGCTCAAAGCTGAAAATAAAATATCCCCAAGTTTGGGGCTTTTCGCCGTGAATCTTCACTTTGCGACTAAAGTATTCACAGCAGTGCTAAAGTTTCTCACCTTACTGCCTGGTTGAAGCTCAAACCCTGACAATGACCGATTTAATGTTAGCGTATAGCCTGATATAGGGAGGTGCACAAAGAAAAACAGCCACTTTTCTCTAAACAACTCGCCCATGGCTGCTCAAAGCTGAAAATAAAATATCTCCAAGTTTGGGGCTTTTCGCCGTGATTCTTCACTTTGTCACTAAAGTATTCACATCAGTGTTAACTTTTTTGGGTCATTACATGGGGTTGCCAATGGCCTACAAGAAAACAAAAAATCAAATCAATGCGACCACTATTATTACAACTGGGTCATGTTTTAGACAGGTACATGTAAATTGACAGGTGGTCAAAAATGGTCAAAATTTGACAATTTCGCACCTTTCTTCCCGTTTGAAGCTCAGCACCTGAATTGACCATCCTGAGCCTTTTGTATAGCTGGACATAGGGAGGTGCACCAAGAAAAAAGCCACATTTCCCTAAACAACTCGCCCAGGGCTGCTGAAAGCTGAAAATAACCTATCTCCAAGTTTGGTGCTTTTCGCCGTGAATCTTCACTTTGCGACTGAAGTATTCACAGCAGTGCAAAAGTTTCTGGGTGATTGAATGTGAGTTCCAGCGGCCTACAAGGAAACCAAAAATCAAATAAATGTGACAACTCACATTACCGCTCGGTCGTGTTTCAGAGAGGTGCATTAAAATTGACAGATGGTCAAAAATGGCCAAATTTGATAATTGGTCACCATACTGCCCGTTTGACGCTCAAACCTTCACAATGACCATCTTTATCTTGGCGTATATCTTGACATAGGGAGGTGGACCAAGAAAAAGAGCCACATTTCTCTAAGCAACTCGCCCAGGGCGGCTCAAAGCTGAAAATAAAATATCCCCAAGTTTGGGGCTTTTCGCCGTGAATCTTCACTTTGCGACTAAAGTATTCACAGCAGTGCTAAAGTTTCTCACCTTACTGCCTGGTTGAAGCTCAAACCCTGACAATGACCGATTTAATGTTAGCGTATAGCCTGATATAGGGAGGTGCACAAAGAAAAACAGCCACTTTTCTCTAAACAACTCGCCCATGGCTGCTCAAAGCTGAAAATAAAAATATCTCCAAGTTTGGGGCTTTTCGCCGTGATTCTTCACTTTGTCACTAAAGTATTCACATCAGTGTTAACTTTTTTGGGTCATTACATGGGGTTGCCAATGGCCTACAAGAAAACAAAAAATCAAATCAATGCGACCACTATTATTACAACTGGGTCATGTTTTAGACAGGTACATGTAAATTGACAGGTGGTCAAAAATGGTCAAAATTTGACAATTTCGCACCTTTCTTCCCGTTTGAAGCTCAGCACCTGAATTGACCATCCTGAGCCTTTTGTATAGCTGGACATAGGGAGGTGCACCAAGAAAAAAGCCACATTTCCCTAAACAACTCGCCCAGGGCTGCTGAAAGCTGAAAATAACCTATCTCCAAGTTTGGTGCTTTTCGCCGTGAATCTTCACTTTGCGACTGAAGTATTCACAGCAGTGCAAAAGTTTCTGGGTGATTGAATGTGAGTTCCAGCGGCCTACAAGGAAACCAAAAATCAAATAAATGTGACAACTCACATTACCGCTCGGTCGTGTTTCAGAGAGGTGCATTAAAATTGACAGATGGTCAAAAATGGCCAAATTTGATAATTGGTCACCATACTGCCCGTTTGACGCTCAAACCTTCACAATGACCATCTTTATCTTGGCGTATATCTTGACATAGGGAGGTGGACCAAGAAAAAGAGCCACATTTCTCTAAGCAACTCGCCCAGGGCGGCTCAAAGCTGAAAATAAAATATCCCCAAGTTTGGGGCTTTTCGCCGTGAATCTTCACTTTGCGACTAAAGTATTCACAGCAGTGCTAAAGTTTCTCACCTTACTGCCTGGTTGAAGCTCAAACCCTGACAATGACCGATTTAATGTTAGCGTATAGCCTGATATAGGGAGGTGCACAAAGAAAAACAGCCACTTTTCTCTAAACAACTCGCCCATGGCTGCTCAAAGCTGAAAATAAAATATCTCCAAGTTTGGGGCTTTTCGCCGTGATTCTTCACTTTGTCACTAAAGTATTCACATCAGTGTTAACTTTTTTGGGTCATTACATGGGGTTGCCAATGGCCTACAAGAAAACAAAAAATCAAATCAATGCGACCACTATTATTACAACTGGGTCATGTTTTAGACAGGTACATGTAAATTGACAGGTGGTCAAAAATGGTCAAAATTTGACAATTTCGCACCTTTCTTCCCGTTTGAAGCTCAGCACCTGAATTGACCATCCTGAGCCTTTTGTATAGCTGGACATAGGGAGGTGCACCAAGAAAAAAGCCACATTTCCCTAAACAACTCGCCCAGGGCTGCTGAAAGCTGAAAATAACCTATCTCCAAGTTTGGTGCTTTTCGCCGTGAATCTTCACTTTGCGACTGAAGTATTCACAGCAGTGCAAAAGTTTCTGGGTGATTGAATGTGAGTTCCAGCGGCCTACAAGGAAACCAAAAATCAAATAAATGTGACAACTCACATTACCGCTCGGTCGTGTTTCAGAGAGGTGCATTAAAATTGACAGATGGTCAAAAATGGCCAAATTTGATAATTGGTCACCATACTGCCCGTTTGACGCTCAAACCTTCACAATGACCATCTTTATCTTGGCGTATATCTTGACATAGGGAGGTGGACCAAGAAAAAGAGCCACATTTCTCTAAGCAACTCGCCCAGGGCGGCTCAAAGCTGAAAATAAAATATCCCCAAGTTTGGGGCTTTTCGCCGTGAATCTTCACTTTGCGACTAAAGTATTCACAGCAGTGCTAAAGTTTCTCACCTTACTGCCTGGTTGAAGCTCAAACCCTGACAATGACCGATTTAATGTTAGCGTATAGCCTGATATAGGGAGGTGCACAAAGAAAAACAGCCACTTTTCTCTAAACAACTCGCCCATGGCTGCTCAAAGCTGAAAATAAAATATCTCCAAGTTTGGGGCTTTTCGCCGTGATTCTTCACTTTGTCACTAAAGTATTCACATCAGTGTTAACTTTTTTGGGTCATTACATGGGGTTGCCAATGGCCTACAAGAAAACAAAAAATCAAATCAATGCGACCACTATTATTACAACTGGGTCATGTTTTAGACAGGTACATGTAAATTGACAGGTGGTCAAAAATGGTCAAAATTTGACAATTTCGCACCTTTCTTCCCGTTTGAAGCTCAGCACCTGAATTGACCATCCTGAGCCTTTTGTATAGCTGGACATAGGGAGGTGCACCAAGAAAAAAGCCACATTTCCCTAAACAACTCGCCCAGGGCTGCTGAAAGCTGAAAATAACCTATCTCCAAGTTTGGTGCTTTTCGCCGTGAATCTTCACTTTGCGACTGAAGTATTTACAGCAGTGCAAAAGTTTCTGGGTGATTGAATGTGAGTTCCAGCGGCCTACAAGGAAACCAAAAATCAAATAAATGTGACAACTCACATTACCGCTCGGTCGTGTTTCAGAGAGGTGCATTAAAATTGACAGATGGTCAAAAATGGCCAAATTTGATAATTGGTCACCATACTGCCCGTTTGACGCTCAAACCTTCACAATGACCATCTTTATCTTGGCGTATATCTTGACATAGGGAGGTGGACCAAGAAAAAGAGCCACATTTCTCTAAGCAACTCGCCCAGGGCGGCTCAAAGCTGAAAATAAAATATCCCCAAGTTTGGGGCTTTTCGCCGTGAATCTTCACTTTGCGACTAAAGTATTCACAGCAGTGCTAAAGTTTCTCACCTTACTGCCTGGTTGAAGCTCAAACCCTGACAATGACCGATTTAATGTTAGCGTATAGCCTGATATAGGGAGGTGCACAAAGAAAAACAGCCACTTTTCTCTAAACAACTCGCCCATGGCTGCTCAAAGCTGAAAATAAAATATCTCCAAGTTTGGGGCTTTTCGCCGTGATTCTTCACTTTGTCACTAAAGTATTCACATCAGTGTTAACTTTTTTGGGTCATTACATGGGGTTGCCAATGGCCTACAAGAAAACAAAAAAATCAAATCAATGCGACCACTATTATTACAACTGGGTCATGTTTTAGACAGGTACATGTAAATTGACAGGTGGTCAAAAATGGTCAAAATTTGACAATTTCGCACCTTTCTTTCCGTTTGAAGCTCAGCACCTGAATTGACCATCCTGAGCCTTTTGTATAGCTGGACATAGGGAGGTGCACCAAGAAAAAAGCCACATTTCCCTAAACAACTCGCCCAGGGCTGCTGAAAGCTGAAAATAACCTATCTCCAAGTTTGAGGCTTGTCGCCGTGAATCTTCACTTTGCGACTAAAATATTCACAGCAGGACCAAAGTTTCTAGGTCATGGAATGTGGGTGCCAGCGGCCTACACGCAAACAAAAAATTAAATCAATACGATCACTCACATTACAGCTGGGTCATCTTATAGAGAGGTGCATTAAATTTGAAAGGTAGTCAAATATGGTCAAAATTTGACATATTCTCACCTTTCTTCCCGTTTGAAGCACAGCACCTGAATAATGACCATCCTGATCCTATGTTATAGCTGCACATACGTTTTCACAGCAGTGCCAAAGTTTCTAGGTCATTGAATGAAATCAATACAACCACTTACATTACAGCTGGGTTATGTTATAGAGAGGTGTATTAATATTGACAGGAGGTCAAATATGGTCAAACTTTGACAATTTCTCACCTTTCTGCCCGTTTGAAGCTCAAAACCTGTAGAATACCCACCCTGATCTTGTTGTATAAGGTCGACACAAGGAGGTGCACTAAGAAAAACAGCCACTGTTCTCTAAACAACCCGCCCAGGGCTGCTGAAAGCTGAAAATAACCTATCTCCAAGTTTGGGGCTTTTCGCCGTGAATCTTCACTTTGCGACTAAACTGTGGGTACCCAGCCAGCGGCCTACAAGCAAACAAAAAATCAAATCAATGCGACCACTCACATTACAGCTACGTCATGTTATAGAGAGGTGCAGCCTACCCATAAATTTCTGAAACTTGCCAAAGTGGAGGGTGGTGAGATAGGGCCTATCAACGTGGCCCCGGAATATCTCTTTCTCTCTCTCGCTTTCTCTCTCTCTATCTCTCTCTCACTCTCTCTCTCTCTCTCTCTCACTCTCTCTCTCTCTCACTCTCTCTCTCTCTCTCTCTTTATCTATATATCTCTATCTATCTATCTCTCTCTCTCTCTCTCTCTCTCTCTCTCTCTCTCTCTCTCTCTCTCTCTCTCTCTCTCTCTCTCTCTCTCTCTCTCTATCTCTTTCTCTTTTAGAGGCATAGGCAAATTTAGAGGCAGATTTAAAGGTAGATTAAGAGGCAGATTTAGAAGCAGATTCAGAGGCAGATTCGGATGTAGATTCAGAGGCAGATTCAGAGGCAGATTAAGACGCAGAGGCAGAGGCGGAGCATGAGGCAGAGGCAGAGGCAAAGGCAGAGGCAGAGGCAGAGGCAGAGGCAGAGGCAGAGGCAGAGGCAGAGGCAGAGGCAGAGGCAGAGGCAGAGGCAGAGGCAGAGGCAGAGGCAGAGCCAGAGGCAGAGCCAGAGGCATGGGCAGAGGCAGAGACAGAGGCAGAGACAGAGGCAGAGCAAAATGAGAAGGCAGATTTAGAGGGCAGATTTAGAAGGCAGATTTAGAGGCAGATTAGAGGCAGATTTAGAGGCAGATAAGCCCGTAGATGCCCCGCAGAGGCCTGCAAAGGCCCGCAGAGGCCCGCAGAAGCCCGCAAAGATACGCAAAAGCCAACAGAGGCCACGCAGAGGTCCCGCAGAGGCCCGCAGTGGCCCGCAAAGACCTGCAGAGCCCCGCAGAGGCCCCCACAGGCCCGCAGAGGCCCGCAGAGGCACGCAGAGGCCCGCACAGGCACGCTGAGGCCCGCAGAAATCCCCAGAGGCTCCGCAGAGGTCCCACAAAGGCCCCCAAAGGCTCACAGAGGCCCGCAGAGGCCCGCAGAGGCCCACAAAGGCCCCGCACAGGCCCACACAGGCCAGCAGAAGCCCGCAGAGGCCCCGCAAGGGCCGGGCCTCTGCCCGAAGAGGCTCGCACAGGCTCGAAAAGGCCCGCAAAAGACCGCAGAGGCCCCGCACAGGCCCGCAGATGCCCACAGAGGTACGCAGAAGCGCGCAGAGGCCCCGAAAAGGCCCGCAGAGGGCCGCAGAGGCCCCGCAGAGGCCTGGAGAGGCCCGCAGAGGCCAGCAGAAGCCCGCACAAGTCCGCAGACGCGCCGCAGAGGCCCGCAGAGGCCCGCAGAGACCCCGCACTGGCCCGTAGAGGCCCGCAGATGCCCGCACAGGCCCCACAAAGGCCCGCAGAGGCACGCAGAGGCTCTGCAAAGGCCTGCATGGGCCCGCAGAGGCCCGCAGAGGCCCGCAGAAGCCCGCAGAGGTCCGCAGAGACCCACCGAAGCCCCGCAGAGGCTCGCAGCGACCCGGAGAGGCCCGCACAGGCCCGCAGGAGTTCGCAGAGGCCCCGCAAAGGCCCGCAGAGGCCAGCAGAGACCCGCAGAGGCCCGCATTGGCACCACAGAGGCCCGCAAAGGTCCGCAGAGGCCCGCAGAGGCCCGCAGAGGCTCCGCACAGGCAACCAGAGGCCCGCAGAATCCCGCAAAGGCCCCGCAAAGGCCCGCAGAGGCCAACAGAGGACCGCAGAGGCCCCGCAAAGGCCGACAAAGGCCCGCAGAGGCCCGCTGAGGCCCCGCAGAGGTCCGCAGAGGCCCGCAGAAGCCCGTAGAGGCCCCGCAGAGGCCCGCAGAGGCCCTCAGAGGCCCGCGGAGGCCCGCAGAGGCTCCGCACAGGCCCGCAGAGGCCCGCAGAAGCCTGCCAAGGCCCGCAAAGCCCACAGAGGCCCCGCAAAGGCCCGCAGAGGCCCGAAGAGGCCCGCAAAAACCCGCAGGGGTCCTAAGAGGCCCACGGAGGCCCCCGCAGAGGCCGCAGAGAACCGCAGAGGTCCCGCAGAGGCCCGCAGAAGGCCGCAGATGCCCGCAGAGGCCCGCAGAGACCCGCAGAGGCCCGCAGAGGCCCCGGAAAGGCCCGCAGAGGCCCGAAGAGGCCTGCATAGGCCGGCAGGTGCCCGCAGAGGCCCCACAGAGGACCAAAGAGACCCGCAGCGGCCCCGCAAAGGCCCGCAGAGGCCCCGCAGAGGTCCGCAGAGGCCCGAAGAAGCCCGGAATGGTCCCGCAAATCCCCGCAGAGGCCCGCACAGTCCCGCACAGGCCCTGTACAGGCCCGGAGAGGCCTGCAGGAGCCCGCAGAGGCCCGGCAAAGGCCTACAGAGCCCCGAAGAGGCCCGCAGAGGCTCCGCACAGGCCCGCAGAGGCCCGCAGCGACCCGCACAGGCCCGCAGAGGTTCCGAAGAGGCCCGCAGAAGCCCGCAGGACCACGCAGAGGTCCCGCAAAGGCCCGCAGAGGCCCGCAAAAGCCCGGAAAGGCCGCACAAAGCCCGCTGAGACCCGCAGAGGCCCGCAGAGGTCCGCAGAGGTCCGTACAGGCCCCGCACAGGCCCGGAGAGGCCCGCAGGAGCCCGCAGAGGCCCGGCAGGGGCCTACAGAGGCCCGAAGAGGCCCGCAGAGGCTCCGCACAGGCCCGCAGAGGCCCGCAGCGACCCGCAGAGGCTCGCAGAGGTTCCGAACAGGCCCACAGAGGCCCGCAGGAGCGCGCAGAGGTCCCGCAAAGGCCCGCAGAGGCCCCGCAGAGGCCCGCAAAAGCCCGCAAAGGCCGCACAAAGCCCGCTGAGACCCGCAGAGGCCCGCAGAGGCCCGCAGAGGCCCGCAGAGGCCCGCAGAGGTCCGCAGAGGCCCCATGGAAGTCCGCAGAGGTCCGCAGAGGCCCGCAGAGGTTCCGCACAGGCCCGCAGAGGCCCGCCGGATTGCGCAGAGGTCCCGCAAAGGCCCGCAGAGGCGCGCAGATGCCAGAGGCCTTGCAAAGGCCCGCAGAGATCCCGCTGAGACCCGAAGAGGCCCGCAGAGGCCCGCTGAGGCCCCGCAGAGGTCCGCAGAGGCCCGCAGAAGCCCCGCAAAGGCCCGCAGAGGCCCGCAGAGGCCAGAGGCCCCGCAAAGGCCCGCAGAGGCCCGCAGAGGTCCCGCAACGGCCCGCAGAGGCCCGCGGCAGCCAGCAGAGGTGCCGCAAAGGCCCGCAGAGGCCCTCAGAGGCCCCGCAGAGGTCCGCAATGGTCCGCAGAGGCCCGGAGAAAACCGCAGAGGCCCGCCGAGGCCCGCAGAAGCCCGGAAAGGCTCCGCAGAGGCCCACAGAGGCCCGCAGAGGCCCGCAGAGGCTCGCAGAGGCCCGCAGAGGCCCGCAAAGGCCCGCAGAGGCCCCACAGAGGTCCGCAGAGGCCCGCAGAGGCCCGCAGAAGCCCTGCAAAGGCCCGCAGAGGCCCGCAGAGACCCGCAGAGGCCCGCAGAGGCTCGCAGAGGCCCGAAGAGGCCTGCATAGGCCGGCAAAGGCCCGCAGAGGCCCGCAGAGACCCGCAGAGGCCCGCAGAGGCCCCGGAAAGGCCCGCAGAGGCCCACAGAGGCCCGAAGAGGCCTGCATAGGCCGGCAGATGCTCGCAGAGGCCCCAGAGGTCCAAAGAGACCTGCAGCGGCCACCCAAAAGCCCGCAGAGGTCCGCAGAGGCCCGAAGAAGCCCGAAAATGTCCCGCAAAGGCCCGCAGACGCCCGCACAGGCTCGCAGAGGCCCGCACAGGCGCGCAGAGGCCCCGCAGAGGTCCGAAGAGGTCCGCAGAGGCCCGCAGAGCCCCGCAGAGGCCCGCAGAGGCCCGCAAAGGTCCGGAAAGGTTCCGCAAAGGCCCGCAGAGGCCCGCAGCGGCCCGGAAAA